AGCTCCCTGCTGAGGAAGAAGTGCAATTCAATGTGTGCTTAGTAGGGACAGTTCAAGACCGGCGTTATGGCTGAGACCGTAGGTGGCCGACGCCCCTGCTCCTGCAGTCTGAGCGTTTCTAGCATCCTCTGCGCCGGGGCCGGGGTCCCGCACGGCAGCTCCCAGGCCTCAGCTGGCAAGGAGACCCCACTCCAGCAGAGAGCGGGATTGGCCACGAGGCAGTTTCAAGGCTGCTGAAGTCCAAGGCGTAGTCGGAAGACGGCGTTATGGCTGAGACCGTAGGTGGCCGACGCCCCTGCTCCTGCAGTCTGAGCGTTTCTAGCATCCTCTGCGCCGGGGCCGGGGTCCCGCACGGCAGCTCCCAGGCCTCAGCTGGCAAGGAGACCCCACTCCAGCAGAGAGCGGGATTGGCCACGAGGCAGTTTCAAGGCTGCTGAAGTCCAAGGCGTAGTCGGAAGAGATGGCAACCAAGGGCAGGCGTATGCCAGCCTCGCCAACGGCCCATGAGGGCCCTGGGAAGCCCGCCCGGTGCTTCGCCGCAATCCAGCGTTAGACAGTCCTACTCCTGAAGGCACCGAGGGGGAGCATGTTGCTTGGCGGAAGGGCGGGGTGGTCGGGCGTGATGGGCTCCTCTCCCGAGGGGACCGATGAAAGGAAAGGGCACCAGGCAGGCTCCCCCCTTCCACTGGCAGGGGCCATGCCTCACCTGAAGGCACCGAGGGGGAGCATGTTGCTTGGCGGAAGGGCGGGGTGGTCGGGCGTGATGGGCTCCTCTCCCGAGGGGACCGATGAAAGGAAAGGGCACCAGGCAGGCTCCCCCCTGGCCCCTGCCTGTAGATGAATCAAGCCCACGTCCCGTAAGGGCCGACTCAGCGCAGCGCTAGCTAACCTGCACAGTCCGCCGGGGCCATAGCTGCACTGGGGCTCCTCCCGTGGCCAAGGCCAGAGAACCAGAGCTAGCGGCGGGGAGGAAATTGTCCCTAGCGTAGACAAGGCCCTGGCCTGGCTCTTCACCAATGCCCTGAGGACTCCCTCCTGACCGCAGGGTTCGTCCCCAAAGCCGCCTGGAGGGAGAGGTCTGTGGGCAGCACCTCCCTTCAGTCCAGGACGCGGCTCTCCTGTGCAGCAGGGGACTCGCCAGGGCCAGGCCGCTGGGAGGGAGTGCGGTGAGGTCAGGTGGACGGCCAGGGCCTCTGGCTTACATGCAGCCAGACGTCCCCGAGGAGTCCAGCTGAACGTCCTGGCTGGCCCCATTGGCAGTGGGGAGCAGGGACGGCTACTGCCCGGCCGCTTTTATGGCTATTGTAGGCTCCGCTCACTAGCAACCCTGAGGAACAGGAAGGTTTGCCCAGCTCATCCCACCCCCTTGCCTGGAAGGTTAGCGGGACTGGGCCAAT